TGAAGACAGTCACGTTGTCTGCGGACCAAAATAAAGCACAAGTGTGAAAACAGGCATAGATTATTTTACGTTACAACAATAAGCAGGATTTAAAACAGTTTGAGTTTGAAGTCTAGCTAGGTACCTTTGAAGAAATGGCAATCTGGAAAGGAATGCTCACTTGATGGCGAAAACGCACACTTTCACACACAGATTGCCGTTCGCCAAGCCCAAAGATGACACGGCACTGTCTGATGACACAAACACGGCGTTTCTTGAATCCACTTCTGACGGCCAAGGAGGCTAACAACAGGCCAACATAAATTCAGATCCCATGATAAGGCTGCTCATTGGGAAAAGACAGTTTCCCAGCTCCTAATCCTGTCAACTGCATCATTTTGCCTTTTGTAGGCTCATATCTTGTCAAAATTTAATTCCCTTCTTTGGAAAAAAACTGACACCCACAATTCAATAAACTGAAAAAACATATTTGCAGTCAGTTCCGCTGCTAGAAAACCGCGACAGTAGATTTCGCACTGCAGTTTTTGAAATTGAAAAGTTCATCAGAGAATAGGAATAGCAGAAAAACATATGAGCGGTAAGGGACATAACTCGCGAAATAGTGCGGCCGAAATCTGAATGAGTGGTACAAAGAGTGCACTAGTTGCGGCCATTTAGTTCAATGTAGTGTAAATTTAAAAGATTTTTTAGGGAGGAAGAATATGCTTGACAGTCGTTTTGTGAGAAAAAAAACAGAGCATTTCCAAGCCAAAACAGACGGCCCCAATATTCATGTAATTTCCCATCCCGATAAAGGTTGCCGGTCAAGACTACGTGTTAGCGCGTCTTTCGCTGTGAAACAGTGTGAGTAAAAGCGAAAATGTTTCAGCTTTCAGCCTTCTGGAACTGGAAAATATTGTTTTCTCTTCACGAAGATCACGAAAAGCGCATCCTTTAGAAGAAACAACGGGCTCATAAAAGGTTGCAAACTCTGATTTGCAAATTGTTTTTCTGCCATAAAAAGCAGTTATTTGACGGTAGTTTATTTTGCCAAACTGAGAATTACGAAATGCAAAAATGCATAAGGATACAAATGTATACAATTAAACCTGCATACATCCTGGAGTCGAGGGGGCCAGTTACTCCTATTTTATTAAACTTGTGATCACATTTTACGCATAGCTGTAAAGAGAAGTGGCCGCAAAGAGCAAGATTGCGTACTTTAAAGGCCTTCTTCCCATCCTCCCTCCTTCCTTCCATCCCACCCACCCTACCTCCAAAAACATACTGTTTCATCCCAGAAAAGGCGATCAGGATAGCGCAAGGCACGTGTGGAGGACATACCTCGACTTGTCAGGGTTGTTCATGACCAGGGCGTAGGCGCGTTCAGTGTTGCTAAGTGTCAGCTGGTGTTTGAATATGCGTGTGTGCAGGGCTGCTGTGAGTTCAGCGAGGCTGCGTGTAGCAGCAATCACCCTCTCATCCTTCGTGCACACGGAGGCTGCTGATAGGGCGGTGAGATGGCCGAAGGCTCTATCTGC